TTTTTAAAAAAAGAATTAATTGGTAATAGCAGAACTTCTGACATTTCATCTCCTTAGTCTTAGTCTATACAAGGAAATCAAGAATCTGATGTAATTTTGGGACTTCCCAGCAGAGAGAAAAATGATATCTACAGCCTTTTTAAGGATTTGTTGGAAAAGAAAGTTACAAGATTACAGGAGGGATTAGAAAGGTTACAATAAGGTTTTATCCTCGGAATGAATTTTCTACTGGGGTAGTGAGGTTTATTTGGAAGCTAAAAATATTTCATCTTTTTTTTCTGTCATGGCAAGTGGGAGTTTTTTGTTTTCCCTTTTTTTAATCTCTGAGGCCTTTCAGATTAGACTCGCCATTTTTCCTGTCCTCCAAAACTCATTGATAATAATAGTAGAAGTACACATATCTTTGAATTTATTGAACATCCAAATAAGTGATCATGGAAGCATCAATTACCTGGTGCATTCTCCAACCATCAGATAACAAATTCTTTTGATTCTCTGCAGTACAGATGCTTCTTTTTTAATAGAATATGAGGCTTCATTATGAAAGATGAAAGTACAAGAGGCCACGCAAAAAAAAAAAACGTAAAAGCTATTAATCATAATATAAATCATAGAGAAAATTACATTTCTAATCTTTGGGCTTTTACTTTTGTCTATTTGTCACTAAGTTCCCAAATCTTACAATTTAAATCCAGTTTTTACTTCTATAATTTACTACATTAATTAAATAAAAACTTCGAGCCTTTATCCTCCTTTTAATTGAAACCACCATCATTCCCCAGAAACCCAATAGCACCATGAGAAGATAGAAGACAAAAGAGAAAATAAATAAATAAATGAAAATGAAAATGAAATTGAGAGAGAAGAGAGAGGACCAGGGATTTTGGGTGCAAATTTCGGGTTGTAGATGTTTTCAAGGTTGAAGATTATGTGTTTTGGATTCTTTTGTTTTTTAATGGGTTGAAGAAGAACAACCTATTTCTGTTTTGGCATATTCAATTTTAGTAAAATAATATAAAAATATTTTTCTTGCCACGAAATCGATAAAAAAAAACATAATCAATGTTTTGACACAGTGTCAGCATAATTAATTCTAAAATCTTTAGTCAATTCTGTATTGCTTCATGGACCACTTAGACATTTTCAAAACTCAGTGTATGAATTGTAAGATTTGGAGACACGTGAATCAATTATATACAAAGGTAAACTCAAATATAAATTTGCCTACATTAATATTTATATATACACACACAATGTAAATATATTCTACCAGAATCAACAGCTTTGATTTCTCTCATTGTAGCATCGGGAGACATCAAAGGCTTGATGAAAAATTGAGCAAATCTGGAAGTAAAAAATGGTAAATCATAATCAGGCGACATTTTATGTAGGAAACAATAGGAAGAGTGATAGCATATACCTATCCAAGGCCTCCTCAAAACAATCAGCATTGACCTCAAAATAATAATTTGTCTGCTCAGATGCCGTAAAGGCATTCATGCTACCTCCATGCTATGTGCCAACACAAAAAACATATTCAGCAAAACGTGCACATGAAGAATGAGAAGAATAATTTGACACAAATACAAAAAATGACACAAATAGAAGAAAACAAAATGTCAAAATTCAAAAGTTTTGGCATTCAAATATTCAGGATCTCTATAAAAATTTTAAAACAAGCCTCAGAAAATAAAGGATTTATATATTTTCAAGAGCTAAAACTATATTGTAAATAGTTAAACTACCATTAATTTCAATGAAATCATTTCTCATCTTAAAAAGATCACCATCAGTCTTCAAAATTTAAGCCATTAGGTTGGAGTTAATTTGATCATATACACTATTTTAAATTCTACCTATAACGTGGGAATATGAGAGTTACATTGGTGAATTTTATTAGCAGTTCCAACACATGAAAATGCCACGAATTTCAACCGAATATCTTTCACATGAAGACAATTTTAAATCTACTACTGAAATTAAAAACCAATAGTATTAGATTAGTATTTAATAACTGTAATACAAAGCTGTCAATCTGAATGAGACTTCTTTCCTCCTCTAGATTTAAACAAACATACATGATACAATTAAAATAGTACCAGTAAATTTAAAGAATAATTTAATACTGTACCCATTTCCAACTCCAAAAAAAAAAAGGAGTAAAATAAGAGAATTTATGTTGTTTCCAGTTACCCAAAGATAAATGAAAAGTCCTAAACATTATCGGTATATTCATTTTTTTTATGAGAAACCATACTTTCATTAAGCAAATGAAAGGATATACAACCAAATTAACCCAAGCCAAAAGGAGCTGAAACAAAAAAGCATGGGCAATATCTTCAAATAAAACTTTTCTTTCATTTGAAAGATGTTCATTCAAACTCTTCTACAGCAAAACAGAAAAGAGACAGAATTGCACGTTTCCATTGTACACTCCAAATTTTAAAGTTCTATTGGAGCATATCTATGTCTAAATATTATTATTTCATGCTTCTGGTGTCCTAAACTTCATGCTGGTAAAGATCTGTATAATAAAAAAAATGATGAACCAAATAAAGAGTAAACTAGCTATGCTAACAGCATCCCATCAATTTCACATACTTGCATGAATGAGCAAGTGCAAAGAGCCAAATGTATTTCCGTGAATATCAATTATGGGTACCTCTGTGATATATTTCGAATAACTATCCTCTAATGGATACTTTTCACTTGCATAAAACAGCATATGCTCTGTCAAGAAATAGTAAATAAGTTTATTAAAAAGAAACCAAAAAAAAAAAAAAACTGATACACAAGAACTAGCAAACACATCCCAGCAACTCCAATCATAAGCCTCCCTTACGTGGAACTTCCAATGCATGTTAGTATTTTGGAGCCTTAGGTGCATTTTCTAAAAATTATTTTTCTTAAAACTGTTTGAACTGTTTTCTATTGTTTTTAATTTATAACACTATTAGAAACATATATTTACTTATTTCATTTTCATTTATTTCCTTTACATATTAATTTTAAAAATATCACGCATTTAAATCAAATGGACAAATAATTCCAAAAGCATCCATTACTCTGAAACTGCTTTTAAAATAAACATTTATTTCATAAACTTTCTTTAGTTATGACTTCCAAACCAGGTGTTGATTTTATCCATCTCTCAAATGTTTTACCATGCCGTACATAATAAGTATTCTCAAAATACATAAAAGCTGGCAAATAACTTGGAAAACTAGATGCATAAACATCATGAATGTAAGTCTAAAGTGAAGTAATTGGGCTTAAGTGACAAAGTGAATCCAGTGGATAAAAAATAAAAATAAAAAAAAAAACATACCAAGTTCTTACCAAGAAAATGGGCTAAACCCTCTAAGCCTTTGGGGTCGCTGAAGGACCCAACGTTCACGGTCATGGAAGCAGCACTCTGAAACCCAATCAGAAGAACACATTTTACGGACACACACATGAATTCAACCACGAAGAGCCCTAATTTGAGCAAGCTCAGTTGGATGCACAAGTGAAAATCAAAAAGAAAACAAGAATCAGATTGGGAAAAAACAGAAAAAACTGGAAGTCAACTTTGCCTTATCGGTATCAGGGTCACTGACGAGCAGGACCTCAAGAGAGTTCCTGAGGACGATTCTCCGGTACTCTCTTTTGTCTGTACGGGGTTTCACTATCTCATGAGTCACCTGTTCCTTCACAACCGCCATTTCTTCTTCCCCCCTTCAATAGCCTAATCCAAGAGTAGGAACAGAGAAACCCAATAGCAAGAGCTGTAAAAATCGAGCGAAGAAGTGAAATTATTCAGCAAAACAAGAACGACAAAGAAAAGAGTGTGTGATCTGCCGTACTTACAGAGAGAAGGAGAGTGTTGAATCGGAAATTTTGGTGCGTAATCAGTGATCGAGCAAAGTTTTTCAGACAAATTTGATTGGAACGATGATGGAAGAAACCTCAAGAGGAAAATGGATTTGACCGATTTCGCTGCGAAGACTTCATTCTGGTTTTGTTTCGTCCGTTTTGGCCGTTATGGAATGGTGTATTTACGAAAATGCCCCTCTACGGGGTGGGCGGCCTGGTTTAGAAAAATGTTTCTTTGACGGGATTAAAAATTGTCTTGCCCCACAAGAAAATTTCATTATACATTTTTTTTTATTTTGAATGGGAAATTTTTATTATACATATGGTTTAATTTTAAGGTAATTAATAAAAACAAATTAACTTGTTTAAAATGATAAGTTGTCAGGAAAAAGACACTACCTTTTTGAATTGAAGAAGCTCAACCTTGAAAAAGAAAGGTGGTAGGCCGACGTTGAACGCTTCAACTTGGCCACTGAAGAAGGCGAAGACTGGGCAAAGACTAGGCCCACTTACTGCTTACTGCCATGCCATGGTTTAAGCTTTAGGCTCCATAGACGGAACTTTTTTTTAGGTATTAGGGAGGGGAGGACACTACTCAGCACCTAAGGTGGGGTTCAATGCCTAACAAAAACGGCCAAAAGAAAAAAAAGAGATGTGGAAAGAAAGAACGCATGCATGGAGATTTCGTCTGTCGGAGGTTCGAGAATCTACGAAAGGGAACGAGGAATTCTCAACGAAAAAAGTGCTTTCTGAACCGAACGTGAAARTCGTTTTCCATCAGACGGCTGTTTCCGTAACTCCACTCTCGACTTGGATTATATATCCAAAAAGGTCCACTCTCGGCCATTCCACACGCTGCCACGCAGAGGCGTGGTTATCTGGAGTGGATTCTCTCTTTTCTRGTGGATGCCGAAMCTGCTGCCCCATTGACTAAGAAGGTATAGCTCAACTTATTAATTCTCACCCACGTGTTTAGGCATCTTGACTTTTGAATTAGTGATTAAAATTAAAAAAAAAAAAAAGTAAATTATTGATGAGACTCGTGTCAATKGCTAAAATTAAAAATTATATTGGGTAAATTACCCTTTTGTCTCTTAGTTTGGTTTGGTTTAATATTTGGATCATAAAATTTTAAAATTTGTTTTTGAGTTAAGATGACACTTAATTTGATTCGATTTATATTGGGTAAATTATACTTTTTAAACATCGTATTAACTTCCATTAAATTTTGTTATTACATGATTTTTCTTTTTTTTTCTCTCTTTTCCTTCCTCTCTGCTTTCCATGTTTCCTCTCTTTCTTCGACAGATTGTTATTGCTCRTTGGCATGGACAAATTGTTGCTTTGATAGTCATCGATCTTCGTCATTCGACCTCAACCGTGGTCAGCAAGCAATAGTCATTCCTCATATAATCTATAATATCTTAAAACGAAAAGATGTATGAAAAATATTTTTAGATACTTTTATCTTTTTCTTAATTTTTAATTTACCAACTATGCTATTAATAATTTATTATAAATATTAAATTAATTATTAATTATCATTTATAATCTATATCATAAAAGTGGCTATTGAAACTTTACCCATCCTTTTTACTCTTTTAATTTAAACCTTTTATTTTCAACTTTGATGGCAATTGTGTCACCCATATCTCTCTCCTCTCTCTCTCTCAATTCTCATCCTCTTTCTCCACTAGTTCCAAATATATGCATAATTAAATATATAGTAATTAACATTTAATTCCAAACAATATTATTTCGAGACATATTTACTTTTAGTTCAATAGTAGYAGGAATAATATATCAATTGTACTAAAAAAAAAGTAAGRATAATAGATCAAACTATCCACCTTTAAAATGGTAATAAGTACCTTGGACGAATCTACGTAGGGGTTGGAGAGAAAAAACTATACATTCGGCTTAGATATTTAATAGTAGTAAGGAGGAAATTTATCCTTACTACTAAGTAGCCAAGTATTTTTCTTCGTTGAGTAATCTATCCACTATAAAAAATTTGAATTTTCATGACGTATATCTTTGGTCCGTTGACATCATGCCTCTCTCCACTTTAATTTTATAAATTTTAGAGTTAAACTCAAAAGACAAGTTTTAATTAGAATATACAATTGGCAAGTAAGATTTTCCCTCTGGTTAGAACTCTAGATTTATAGAATGTGATTTTAAAGTAATTTTTCGGGTTGGGTTTGAAAATTGAAATCCCATTTTGTCAAAAAAAAAAATCATCCAAAATAGTTCGAAATTTGGTAGGATTTTAAATGAAAGTTGACCTCGTTCCAATGTTACCCTTATGGTTAGTTGTATTGAAGAAATCGAAATAAATAAATAAAACTCTCTCATCTATGCATTAGTTAGTAATGTAGAGATGGAGGTGGTGCTACGATAGTGTGTCAACGTATAGATAAGTGAATGATATAAACAAGAGAAGAAATAAAACGAAGGGCATGAGATAAAAAGGGAAGGAAGAAAATGAAGAAGAAGATAGAAAGAGAAGGAAGAAAATGGAGAAAGAGATCGAAAGAGAAGAAAAAAAGGAGATGAGGTCGTGACGAGTTGCAGTAGAAAGAAATACGAAGAGGAAAGAGATTGGAGAAAAAACGCGGAGACCACAAGATGGGGTCAGAAAATGAGAAGTACACACTCTACATATATTTTTTATCATTTCACTAGTAGAAATCCTATGTACTCGTTAAAATTAGTAAAAAATTAATTTATTCAGAGTTTGTAATCAGTATTTTGTTTGTCAAAAAAAACAATAACAAACAAAACAATAAAACACTAATTCAGAAGTTAAACAAATATCTGTGATGATTGCCTTATTTCTAAATGCATTAATTTTTTACTACATATTATATATAAAATCTCAAACTATCCCACGTATTCATTTGGGCAGGTAAAACGAATGGATGAAGGGATGCCACGTGGCAAACGAGGAGAGGAGGGTAGTTGGGGAGAGTAAAAATTTGGATGGGTTGGTAAAGAGAAGCGCCCCTATAAAATAAAGGGGTGGAAGAGGGGAGTGTGAGTATCGTTTTTTATTCGTGTGGAGGCAAAATGGAGAGTGGAAAAAGGGAAAATAAAATGAAGATTTTATGCCTCCATGGATTCAGAACCAGTGGGAGTTTCCTTAGAAAGCAACTCAGCAAATGGGATCCTTCGATCTTCGCTCATTTTGACTTGGTATTATATTTTATATATCAGTTTCTACTCCTCTTCTAAATTACTAAATTAGCATTGGTGTTTCGATGAGTCGTATTATCGTATTCAATGGTTTGGATCTATTGCACAAGAGAAACTTTTATCTTTCTTTACCATGTAACTTACGACATCTAATCGTCGGCAAGTAATTGGAAAGAATATTGTACTTAGGTGTTTTGACACGACACATTCCAAAATACTAGTCGAGAACGAGTCCCGACGACTACAGATTTTGACTAGCTACGGAGCTTGTAATCAAATTTCTTCTAATACTTGAATCTAACTTTGACTCACAAGTTCTGGAAATAAAACTATGATATTTTGTGGAATAACTATTCTCACATGTTTACACTCGATGTTCACCATTATTAATTTTTTTTTATAAATAAAAGGGAGGAATGCAAAAAAATAAGATATTTTTCTCTTGAAAAAAATAAAGAGCTATTAAATTTTAATAGTAATCCACAGAAAAATGGTGCTTAAAAATTAAAGTACTATTAAGTTGGAAAAGAATATTTTCGATAGTTTATGTTATAAAAAATAAAATCTTTTCCTTTTAACTTTGGTAGACTCTACTTGGATGAGGAAGTCGACTTTTTAATTAAAGTGAAATTAATATTCTTAATTTGTTGGGTTCTCATCCTTTAACGATGTCGCACGACTATAGATATTTTGCATAGTTTGACGGGAATATATTTGTACCAACATTGAGCTTAACTCGACGGTTAAGAGACCTGATCATTTATTAAAGATGAGAGATGAAATTTTTTATTTTCTATTTGTTGTACCAAAAGAAATGAGAATATTTTTGTGGGTATTATTAATCATGTTAGTTGAGTTTAAGCATATTTTTTTGAATTTAGGCGAGCTCGTCTACGTGTTTGATTTTATAATTAATGTGACCTAATTTTGAGTATTTTGTTGGTTGAAATTTTTTTTATTGATGTGTTAGTTTATGGACTTTTTTTTAATTTAGTTGTGAGGAGATATTATTTCCACCGCTTACTCTAATTAAACAAATTAATGGTTTAATTAGAAGAAACTGGAAGTTTTGACAAGAAAATTGCGTCATAACATAGATAAAATTGAAATTTTTAGACTTGGAAAAAATTAACAACTTACCAAGAAGACAGAAAGCAATTGCCCACGGAATGAAAAATCCCTCATATTGATGACTGTGAGATGACCATGGTTTATATAAAAAATTAGCCACGAAAGGATAAATACAACTTTATAATAAATAAAACTAAAAAGTTTTTTAATTACCCATAAATTGGATAATTGTTTGGTGGAAGTTGCGTTGTATCTAACTTAAATTGTATCTAACTTAAATCTAAGATCTCAAACATATTCTTTCAAGTCTCGTATGGATAAGACTGTTATTATTTATCAGGAAGGTTTGATTCCTATATCCGTATTTATCGGAAAGAAAAAGATAATACCATAATCATTGATGGTATAATTCAGGGTACATTATCAATTTGCTCTTAATTCATATTTTTCATTCCTTTTTTTACTCTACACTTAATCTCAATTATTATTATTATTATTTTGAATAGGATTTTCCAGATGGCATGTGTCCTGCAGGAGGAAAGTCAGACATTGAAGGATATTTTCCACCGCCTTATTTTGAGTGGTTCCAATTCAATCAGGTACAATTAAATTAGACATTTTTTAATATTTTCGAGAATTAATATTTTTAATATTTCAAAAATGAAGAATAATGTGATATTTATTGGGCTTGAACTTGAACATGGCAGGAGTTCACAGAATACACAAACTTAGAACAATGCATAGGTTACTTGTGCAACTACATCACAACCAACGGCCCATTTGATGGATTGTTGGGCTTTTCCCAGGTACATTTATTTCTTTTGTTTATTTCTCGATTTAAATAYTATTTTGGTCACGTATTTTATACTTTGGTTGATTTGATTTTTATCGGTATACTCTCAACTTTTATTAAAACATCTTTTTTTATTCTTGTATTTTTAAGAAGTGACCATTTTAGTTCTTATTTGCAAAATTTTAATATAAATTTCATATACGATGGAAATTTTTTAATACAAATTTATGACTACAATTTCAATAAATATTTTTTTAGTGAAGTGTCATGCTAAAAGTATGATAGAAAAAATGGGTAAGGACAAAAATAGTTACTTTTTAAAAGTACAGGGACCAAAACAAACGTTTCAAAAGTACTCATACTAAAATGAACATAAGTTGAAAGTATAAGGACCAAAATTGATGAAATTAAAAACACCAACATTGATCTCTATTTCTAATTTAGTCCCTAAAATTTAAAAGTTTTATATTAATCCCTTAGGTTTTAGTAAATTTTAAATTCAGTTTTTATTGTTGGGATATGACATGAGTAAGGAAATAATTAGAAAAAATGGGTTGTCTTATTTGAACCTATTAACTTTTTAAAAGAAATAAAAATTTCATAACCACTCAAATATGTTCCGTTTGTCATGTCTTACCATTTATTAATATCTATAGATAATTAATATAGTCATGAACTATATATTATAAATTTAGAGAGAGAAAAAAAAAGAAATACTCGTATTATAAATTTAGAAAGGATATAGAAGGTTAAAGAAAGTTCGATAGCAAAAAAGAAATGGAAGATTAAAATTAACTCGACTAGATTACTTTGAACATTCAAGATAGTAGATGTTATGCAACAAAAAGAACGAGTCATTTCACCATTTTATTAAAATTTTTAATCATAAAGACTAAATTTACCATTTTATTAAAATTTTTAATGATAAAGACTAAATTTGGAGCTTTTAAAATTTGTGGAACTAAAATAAAAAATTTTGGGCAAATTTTAGAATCAAAACTATGTTTTATTCTTTTATTTTTAATTCTAAGTATATTATGAGACTTCAATTTATATTAATGGTGGACCAATTTAATTTTTCAATCTTTATTTTAGGGTGCCACGCTATCAGCACTCTTGTTGGGTTATCAAGCACAGGTACGCATAATTGAGATTAATAATTAGAAATATGATGCACTAAAAAAACAATAGTAATTAAAAAGTAAATACATTACCAAAATTACAGTATCAGTCAGAATTTAGGTTAATCAATATCTAGATTAATCAGTAATTGTGTAAATCAAGAATTATTATAAAAAAAATAAAAACATACTAATTAACAATATCATATCAAGTCTATTGATGATCATTGTTTTTCTAAAAATATCATATATGTAATTTATTCGGAATTACTTTTACAAAACAACATATTGCAAATGGTTTTTAAAATATTAAAAAAGATATAATAGTTGAGAATCATTTTTGGACGTAGTTGTCCTTTATTTATTCAATTGATTTTATTTAAATTAAAATGATATTAATGTTATAGAACTAAAATGATTTCCAATGAATTAAAATGTCCCCATATTTGAAATATGTATTTGTACTTTCATAACATTCGTTTTGGTTCATGCACTTTTAAAAAGTGACCAATTTGATCTTTATTTGCAAAATTGTAACACAAGTTTTATACACAATACTAACTCATCAATACAAATTTATGACTGCATTTCAATAAATTTAGTAAGTAGATGTCTGTTAAAATAATGATCGAAAGAAATTATATAAAAATAAATACGAATGGATGAAAATAGTTACCTTTTTAAAGTACATGGATCAAAGTAGTCGGCTTGAAAGTGCATAAATTAAAACGAACAAAAATTAGAATAACAAAAACCACAATCAATCATTTTGAAAGTATAGGGATTAGAAATAAGCTAAAGTAGAGAATACATGGACTAGAATAGTATTTAGAGTATAGACCGATATATTTATTTGAAGAATTTAATTTGAAAAAATGGGAATAAAACAGGGAAAGGTGTTGAAGGAGCATCCACCAATCAAATTGTTGGTGTCAATATCAGGATCAAAATTCAGAGATGAAAAAATATGTGAAGTTGCCTACAAACACAAAATAGAGGCTAAATCTGTTCATTTGATTGGGGAAAAGGATTGGTTGAAACTGCCTTCTCAAGAACTTGCTTCTGCCTTCCATGACCCTTTGATCATAAGGCATCCTCAAGGCCACACTGTCCCTAGATTAGGTCTTTTTCCTCGCTCTCTCGAAATGTGCGTTTATTTTTTAAAAGTGATGCTTGACAATGATCCATAAACGATTTTTAGAAAATCTAAAACCATTCTAAATGTCCATTCTGCATTTTAAACTTTCAAATTTAAAATTTGGAAACACTGAATTACAAAAATGTTGATTTCAAGATTTTTACTAATTGATGGTAGAACTGCAGTTTTCAAAAACAAATCTTATATTTATTGAATTTAGTGAATCTGGAGACAAGAAACACAATATGAATTCTCTACCAAAGAGGCTCTAAGTGATTATCGAGTGGAGTGGTTTTTGTTTGATTGAGAGGGAATTGGTTTTTAAAATATAGATGTTATATTTTTTTAGTTTAAAAATGTCATTAATTATAATTAAATCTCTTTGTCTAAGAACACTTATTCTAAAATCACTTTTTGTGTTGTTTTGCTATAGATGAAGCAGCCACCAAGGAGCTCCAATGCTGGGTTGATGCAGTACTCTCCGGTCATGATCATGTTATTGAAGATGAAGAAGTCAAGGAGAATTATGTCATTGACAAAATGGATGAGAAAATTGAGAATGGGCTCTCCAAATTAGACCATGAAAGTAAGGAATAGTACTAACATCAAAACCTTATTATATAATTTAAGGTTGATTTCGTTCGAGTACTTTGATGTTTGAGGTGTGGTTGGAGATGCGTTTGATTGGTGATCTAATCGGGTTCGAAAATAAACTAATTTAAGAATAATATTTAGTAATTATGGGCGAGTAAATATTTCTTACAAACTATTTGTCATGTGTTTTTGACAATTAAGAGAATAATGCAAATTGCAAAAAGAGGGAAGAGAGATTTTTTCCTTTTAATTGTCTTCTTCTTTAAAGAATAACTAAAAACTGTCAATTTTTTGTACCTAAATATTATTAAGAATTTAATAGAAAATAGACATTATGTTTGGGACTTATAAGTACTTTTTGTCCAAGATTTTAAATGTCCACGTCTCAATTTAATGAAGATGGAAATATCGATAAAATGTCGATGTCAATGAATATTTATATAAAAGTTAGAGAAATTAAAAATTCGTAAGAAATATTCAAATGAACAAATAAACAATTTTTTATTTCTATATAAGTTAAAGATGATCAATATTAATATTACGTATATATTAGTGACATTTTATTGATATTTTTCATATTTTGTTGATTTTTTGAACTATGATGGAAATGTCGATTTACCTCTCATGTCGATGTCGAATTATGAATACATGGACACGTCGATGACGAATATTTAATACCATACGGCATACTCTTGTCTAAATATATTTTTTCACTCAAAATTTTTAGATTTAGAAGTAATATTATAAAGTATTTTTGGAAAAAAAAAATCAAAAGCACCTAGCGAGTGTGCACAAAAGTTGTTGGACCAACTACTTGATTGGAAATTACTCAAATGCACTTCTAAGAATGTGGAATTGTATATATATATAGAATAAAATATGATTTGTTATTAAACATTTTTACTTAAGTAATTAAAAGTCTAAAGTGTAGAACCGTCAATGATTTTGAGGAAGTTGCTATTCATTTGCAACTCCTTTTGAAATGCTAGTTAGAATCACGTGGATTTGCACGTGATTTCAAATTTTTTTAACATTTATTTTTTTATGTGAAATTTAAAATTTGAATAAATAAGTTTTTTATTGAGTTTAAATATGAAATATTTTTACTCGAATTAAAAAAATAAAAAAAGAAAAAATGATAGAGATAATATAGATAATTAAAATTTAATTATATATAACGTAATTCAAATGAAAGTTGTAAAGTAAAATTGTTACTTCATAGGTAATTGTTTAGTATTTTGTGAATAGTTTGATTTACGAAGAAAATAAATATATTTAACAATAATTTATAGGTTAACTTAAAAAAAAATAAAGAAGTATATAATAAATTGAACTTTTTTTTACAATAATAAATTGAACATTGATTAAAGAATAATCTCTCCATAAACAACACTTTTTGTAGGTGAGGAGGGACAATTTTATCATATAGTGATTTAATAAGAAAACAAAAATCACTCCTACCTCAATTTAATAAACAAAATACTGAGGATATATCACACTACAAAATAAATAAATATGTATATATATAAAAGAAGAAATTCAAAAGTAGTTAATATTATTAAAGCAACAATGGTCAAGATATATAAATATGATTTTTTTTTTTAATTTTCATAATCGTCTTTCTTTCTATTTTGAACTTAAATCGTGTTACTCTCAAATTGACTGAATATTTTATTGTTTATTTTTTTCTATTTTCGTTGAAGCCGTGGTAGGGACTGTAAAACCATCTCTTAGGTTAAAAATTTTCAGAATTCGTTGGAGTACACCTCACTTTAAATCAACAAAACCTGTTTTTAATAAAAGAAATATAAATATAAAATAAGAAATTCAAAAGTTCAGGAAAACATCAAGAAGATAAATACAAACATTAAATTTAATTTTATAGGAATTCAAAAGGAGTTAAAAAGATCAAAAAACAGAGGCGTCAATAATCACTCAATTTAGAAAACAATACACTCGTAATATTATATACAAAAATTTCACATCAATTTAGAAAACATAACCCTCGCAGTATATCATAATACAAAAATTATTGGTCAAAACTAATCACGTCAATTTAGAAATTCAAATTAATTAATAAAAAAGTATAAATATAAAATAAAAAATTTAAAATAGTTAAGTTCAAGAAAACAACGATCAAAGGGGATAATTAATAGGAACATTAAATATAATTTTTTACTTTACCTCTTCATCGTTTAAATTTATTTTTTGTATTTGCAAATCTTCATTTTGACAGGTTTAATTTTCCCTACAATAAAACAACAATCAAATGAGGATAATTAATAGGAACATTAAATATAGTTTTTTACTCTACCTCTTTCAGATGTTCAATGTTTCCTACCAAGAAAGAAAACTTTTAATTTTCATTATTTTTGGGAATGTTTAAAACAAAAACATTTGTAGATATTTTGGGAGAAAGAAAAGAATACAGATTTTGATGTATGAAGACTTAGTTTTCTTTCCTTTTATAAATAGTTTGTAAGGGAAAAAGCTCATGGTTCCGTCTTCACACCTCTATATAGGATCACACCTATATGTGAATGGACACAGTGCTTCTCTCAATCGACAACTCATTTATAATAATTTGCAATCACACCTATATGTGAATGGATGCATTGTTTGTCGAATAGTCACAACTTATTTAGATTAATTTCTTTCAATAAACACCTCGTTTGAATAGTCATGTAGAAGTTTGAAGGGTAAATTGGATATATGTTAAAAAGTTGAGGACAAAATGGGAAGGTAAAGATTCTATAGCCCATTTATATATAGTATAGATTGTTGGAATATATTTCTTTCTCGTATTTCAAAAATATTTCTACAGCACAGCATTTATTATAAAACATTTTCAAACACAGTATTTTTATTTTAAAAAAAAAAGGGGGTGTATTATAGAACAAGTGTTTAATTTAGTTCCAACTTGGATCCCAAATTTTATCAATAAAATTATTAACATATTTATATTATAAAATTTATTTAATATAATCTTTAACAATATTATATATTTTATAATATTTTATAGTGTAATAATATACATCTTGTTATTTTGACAAAAAATGAGACAAATTCATCATATAATATTTTACACTCTGATTTATAATTAGAAAATTGAATTTCTGTCGACATTTTCATATGTTAATGGGTTCGACATCGACATAAATGGTGAATGGACATTTTCATATTATCCACATAAAATTGACAAAATATAAAAAGGTTTCAACAAAATATTACTAATATGGACGTATATATTAATAAATTTCAACAATTTAAAAATTTTTAGATGTTTATTTATTATTTTAAATATTTATTTTGTATTTTTTTTATAAAATTGGGAATTTTACATTTTCACCCATCAACATTAATTTATGATCTAATGACATGAATCTTTTTTTTTTCTTTTTTGTGAGAATATAAAATTATAATGGTAAGGGTATGTAAGGACTCAAAATTATTAAAAAAAAAAGTTTGATACCTTAGGCATGGTTTGCCATTTGGACTTTTATTTTTTGATTTAGAAAATTAAACCTAGAAACACTAGTGTCACTACTGTCACCCGATCGATGTTCTTTTGTTATGTTATATAATTTTTAAAACATCTTAATTTTGAAAATCAAAATAAGTAGTTTTAAAAACTTATTTTTTATTTTGAAAATTTGACTTAAAACTTCACACGGTTTTCAAGAAGGTGAAAAACATGCTAATGAAATTGTATATAAACAAACATAATTTTTTTAAAATAGAGAACTAAAAATGAAATGAGTTGTTCAAGCAACACCTTAATTATGTGAACTATACGCCTCAAGTCAGTACATAGCTGCTTTTATAAAAAAAAAACCATGATCTTTCGTGTATTAACTTTGTAGAATGCAGCACTTCAAACACAAGACTCAACAAATGCCTAGTTAAATATCTTGGTAATGCTTCACTATTATAAAAGAGTTAAATAGTCATTAAAAGCATAGGTTAGCAGTACTTATATAACTAGTTTGTAACACAGTGTCATGCACGTCATATTTCCAATTTATTCGATCATTCATTAAAATTAACGATAAATTTATCAATTTATACTAAATAATTAAAAATGGTGTACGTATTGGATTAAATAATTCTAATCATATAAAGTTATATATATTTCAATCATAAAGTAGCTTCGAAATATTTACATGAAGGCTTGGTACATATGCTTGAAACTTTAGGAAATAAAAAAAAAAAAAGAAAGAGAATTGAGTGAGGATTTCACTCAACAAAGAATAAACAAAATTTTTATTAAAAAAAATAGAAGATATAGAGTTTTTTTTAACTCCGAGGGGAAGAAAGTTGTAAAACTATTAAAATTTAAAGAATGCTGCAAAACAGTTAAAATTCCAAAATTTTTAAATTTTATTATTAATTATAATTAAAGTCAAGTAACAGATGTTATAATTAATATTTAGAAATGAATTAGCTAAATTTTTTCAACATTTTCGTATATTAATTTTGGTTAAAAAATATTTTTTGTCATTTTACTTTTACTAAAAGTAACAATTTAGTCCCTGAACTTTAGTTGGTAATGATTTAGTCCATATACTTTCAAATTGAAATGATTTAGTCATTGAATTTTAATATGTAACAATTCAGTCTTCCTAATTTAAAGTGGGTTACGATTTAGTCCTTGTCGTAAAACTTTTTTGTTAAGTTTTTTATATATATAGATTGATAAACTAAAGATGAACCAAATACGTTTATAAATTAGAAAGATTAAATTGTTATATGTTAATTTAACACTTAATTTTAATAAATTTTGTTACGATAGGGACTAAATTGTTATAAATTTTAAACTACAAGGACTCATTGCAAGCTAAAATTCAGGGACTAAATTGTTACATGGACTAAATCATTACAAACTAAAGTTTAAAGACTAAATTGTTAGTTTAGTAAAACTACATGGACCGAATACATTTCTTAACCTTTAATTTTTAACATGTTCTTCTCATTTGTCAGTTTTATGAACTTATTTAAATTATTAATTGTAAATATTTTTATCTTAAAAAAAATTAACTATTTAAATTCTTGTGGCATTTGTGCGGGAATGTGAAATAATTTATTTTTTAAAAAATATTAAATGGTTTTATTTATATGTAAGTGGATGAATTTCTTTTTTTATTAAAGATTCTATTTATGATATTTACATGAGGATGTGAAAGAGTTTAATTTTACATACATGAGCGAAGGAGGTATAAACATAGAATTATGTATAAATATTTTCACTCCAAGAAATAACACATTTATTCAAGGTCACTAAACAACATTTTGCTAAATTGGAATGTGATCTCCTGCACTGATTTATAAACTTAAAAAAAAAATCGTGAGAGAAAAAAACGAGATAAAAAAATAAACATCATATTGTTGTTGGAAATGAGTGAATAGTGTCCTTAAAAGAAGAAGTTGCAAAACCTTTAAAATTCTACCGTCTTTTAATATTACATAATTAAATATTATTAAACGAGGATGAAAAAACTTTTTCTATTCTAACATTTTATTAAAGGTAAAATCAAGTGAAATTAAAATAGAATTTTAAAAGACATAACCAAGAAATAAAAATAAAAATCTGTCCATTATAAACATATATCCACTTGGTATTAAAATGAAGATCATATATGATATTAAGATATAGATATGAATAACCAAGCACATCCCCATCATCACGAGTAATTAAATAAATCATAATGCAATTAGTATTATCAATCTGAGCATGCATATCTATGCATATCTGTATACACGCCATGGTTTTAGGCTAATTAATATTAATTACTATAATATTTCTCCGCATTAGATTTAAAATTCGTCTTTTGTTTCTTCTTCTCCTCATTGTTATATTCTTTATTGGAAATATTATAATTTGCTACTTAAAAAGTAAGAAGATTATATATTTGCTACGGGAGATTTTTAAAAAATATTGGCTCATGAAAATTATTGTAACTCAAGATGAACAAATATACGTATACAAACTATCATGTTCTTCTACAAGTATTTTAAATTAATTTTGATAGATGAAAAATGGGTGAATAATATTTTCACTTTATTATTTTTCAACTAGTCTTTTGACTTTATAATTTATATATTATTTTAAAATTTTTTAGTATACTTTATTACTTTTCTATTTATATTATTATCTATTTATTTTCTAGGCAAATCCACCCAAGTTGGATTATATCATGAAACTATATTTCAAGATCATAACACACTTTAATAAAGATTGATCTATTTTTAAATAATAAATGTACTCAAAATAATAATTATCTTTTTTTTTGCAAAGAAAATAATATAAATTATTTAACTGAAAAGAAAACAATAGGTCTGATTATTTCTTTCAATTATGAAATATTTTTAAGATTTAAGGCTTTATCTTTTAACTATTATTAATATGATTTAATACAATAATATAATTAATAACTTAATGATTTCAAAATTGTATTATTGAAATGATTTCAAAATTGTATTATTGAATTTATTTATTAGGAGAGAAAAGTCACATCCCCTCTTAATTATCTCTAGTCCCTTTGGATCAAAGACTAGGATGATTAATCTATATTTATATTGATCATGAAAAAATATTTTTAAACTATTATATATCATAGAGAATGAATGACAAGTAGTAAATAAATTAATTAATTATCAATAATAAATAAAAAACAGAGAATTAATGATCCTTTAAAAAAACACAGAATTAATAATAAATAGTAAGTTAATTAATTAATTATAAAAAATAAATAAAAACATGTCATAGAGAATTAATGATAAATAGTACCTTAATTAATTAATTATCAATAATAAATGATTAGTTAATTATCAACCATATCAATTTAATGGACCTTAAAAAATTGTTATATATTTATGAAGACCGTAATTATTTTGACTAATAATAATTAATAATAGAATTTCAAAAGATCTTATAACTTTTTCATTTTTCCTTTCTTTTTCTCTCTCATTTTACTGCTCTCAAAGACACGTTCAAGTTGTCAAGTTTATACATTAAAATTATCTCCCGATTTTATAATGTTTGCTATTGGATAAGTGACCATCACCGAATTTGAACTCATTCCCTCCCAATTAATCTTAACTTCTTTGGATCAATGAGCCATCTACAGTAGTTCATGATAGCATTTTATTTTGAACACATGCATAAATCAAATAATCTTTTACTTCTAATAATTAACCAGATAACAATATAAATATGCTTAAACTATATAAGTTTATAAAATTTATTATTTGTATTATTTACTAATTTAAATAGACAATAAAATTAATAAACTAATTAGGAGTGTTAAAATTTTTATAAAATTTATTATTTGTATTATTTACTAATTTAAATAGACAAATAAAATTAATAAACTAATTAGGAGTGTTAACATTTTTTTTTTTGTTTCGTTTTTTTAGTCCAACAAGTTTATTAACTTGTTTTCTCGAATATTTATAAACAAATATTTTCTCGATTTGAAGAAAGAAAATCAATTAATTTTTCTCTAGTTAACAATTTTTAAATTGATAAGGTAATCTTTTTTTTCCCTCTCTAAAGACAGAGCCCTGCGAGATAGCGAACATGAGCTATCTTAAAAAATAATGCAAGATTTATTTCAAAAAATTCAAAATTCAAATCAAAATCCTTATAAATACTTTTGAAAAGTAAACCAAAATTTACTTACAAATTTGGCAAAATAAAATCTTCCCTAACCATCAATATTTTCAAATAATTATTTACATAAATATGGAAGCCGATGAAAATTCAAACTTTTGTCCGACATAAATTTACACTTATCTAATTCTGATCCGAAGGTCGTGAGATTCGAATCTCTCCACCTCCACTTACTGTACTAAGAAAATCTTGAAAGATAAAATTAGCTAGGTTACTCCTTTAATTTTTGAAATCAGATTTTTTTTCCTTTTTCTTTTAATTTTAGAAATAGATTTAGCATTAGGTTATTAGGTTATTTTATTTCTCTCACCTCCAAGGAAAAAAAAAAGTTGCTTTTTGCCATCTTCTTCAAGAAACTCATGTAATTGTTTTTTCTTTCGTTTTGAATTTGGCCGGAGATTGAACCTTCAACTTCAAGAAAGGTAATAGATATTTTATTCTTACATTAATTTAATTTAAGAATGTTTTGGATATTTAATTACGTAGATTAGATTAGATTATAATTATTCGAAAATATAGTTACTGTGTGTGTGATTTTGTCTTATAAAAGCAAAAGAATAGAGAATTGTATACAAATGGATTCGAGAGAAGGGATGGAATGGGGAGCGGTGGCGGCGGCGGTGGCGGCGGAGGCGGCAGCGAGAGGATTGCCGGTAGGGTTCCGGTTTATGCCGAGTGATGAAGAACTTGTGAGGGATTATTTGAGGAACAAAATATTGAAGAATCCAATTCCAGCAGATCCAATAAAAGATATTCAAATTTCTGAGTTATTTCAAAACCCTCCAAATTGCCTCGGTATGATTTCTTCTGCACAATTTTCAATTTTTTATGCTTTTTGTTTTGTTGGTATTGATGTTTTTGGGGGTTTCTT